AGACAGTACCTCAGCTCAGGAGGTGTCTTTGTGAACGCCGAGTTCGGTTCGCACTAGTGCGCATGCTAACGCTGCCGTCCCCCACGCAGGGCCGAGCCGAACTAGTGCGGAGCCGGAAGAGGCGCAAACCAGACACCGGTGAAAGCCGTACCCCCATGCATAGAGCGGCCGGGACGGGCAGCCTCGAGTGCATCGGTGGGTGGGGCACACACACACACACACACACGCGCGCGCGCGCGCGCACACAACCACACTCACACACACACACACACAGGTCGTTCGAGCTCCGCGTGAACAGCGCCTTTTTACGATCCTTAAAACCCTCCGTACGGGTATACCCCCCCGATCCCATGATCGCCGCCCTGACTGCCTCGGCGCACGGCTTCAGCTCGACCCCGAAGACGCCCTCGGGCTGTCCTGAGGACCTCTTCGGCTATGTGGACCCGTACACCATGGCCGTGGTCGACTCGAGCGTGGACCCGCTGGTCCTCGCCGACAATTTCGGCTTCGGCCCGGCTGGCGGTGACTTCCTCTACACTGCCACGAAGGCGGCTGTGCTTCACTACCTCCCGTTCCGTAGCGCCGTGCCCAACGCTACCGAGACCCTCACCGAGACCTTCAGCGCTGCCCCGGGCATCACGGGCGATGGCACCTGCCTGCGCCCTGGTCCGCCGGGATGCGGCCAGTACGTCAAGACCACCTACGAAACGGGCTGCCCGTTTCTTGGCCCGGACGCGGACCTGATCCTGGGCGCCATGTCGAACGAGAACGAGGGCCTGAACGAAGACTTCACCTTCACCGGCTGCACCGCGGTGGCGCAGGAGACGCACTGCTTCATGGGGTTCAGTGAGGAGGGCTTCGCTATCAAGGTCGACTGCTCGGTGTGCGAGGCAGAGCGCCGCAAGCTTGCGTCCAAGGAGGCTGTCCCGCTCTCCAAGTACCACCCGCTCGCTTAAGTCGGAGCAGGGATCGCGGCGTGCGTCGATCGCGGCCGGGCGCGTCCTGCACTCCCCCGTGAATGCCGGCTCTAGTAGGACCTCTGAAGGCGCAGCCTCTAGTTCGAATCCTTAGCCCATCCCCATGCGTGTGCCCGGTCGGGTATGTGGGGTGGCCGCGCGCGGACAGCAAGCTTCACTTTACGCCGTCGCCGAGCGAGCCCCGAGCGCGTCGCTTTTGGCACTGAGTGCCAAGCTCTGATGTCAATGTGTTACTGCCGGTGCGCGCTACTCCTGCTTTTGTATTTCTTTTTTTGGCGAGCGCTGCCGTGATTTCTTTTTTCCGTTTCGCTGAAGCTTTTCGATCCATGCTTGCCGCCACCGTCGCCTCCCTAGGCGTCACGATGCCTCCCGTGTCGCCCACCGGCCTCCAGAATCGCATCTGGCGCTGGCGAGGCTTCGACGTGCGGTACCAGTGCATCGGCGACGAGCGTGCGGACGGTCCGGCGGTGCTTTTTGTGCACGGCCTTTTTGTGAACGCGGACCACTGGCGCCGCAACCTGCCCGCGCTCGCCGACGCCGGCTGCCGCTGCTACGCGATCGACCTGCTCGGGTACGGCTACAGCAGCAAGCCGAACCCCCTAAGCGAAGCGGCGAAGGCTGTGAGCGGCGAGAACGGCCGGAGCCTCAGCGCGCCGGTCGCTGACCTTGGCACAGCCGGCGGCGGCACGCGCGAGGGGGTGGAAGTGGAGCTGGCTCACCCGGTCGCGGGCAGCCCGTACAACTTTTACACCTGGAGCGACCTGTACCCTTCTTGTTGGAGCGGAGAGGTGACACTTTTGCGAAATGTCCCGCACGCTCTCTTGTAGGAGCGAGCAGCTCCTCGACTTTGAGGCGGAGGTCATCGGCGGCGACGAGCCCGTCACCCTCGTCGCAAACTCGATCGGGTCGATCAGCGCGCTGCAGGCCGCCATCGACGCGCCCGCACGGATCAACGGTCTCCGCAGCCGTCGGCCCAGGCGCTCCTCATCCCGTCCCTCTGTCCACGAGGAGACCTCTTTGCCAGGCGTGGCGATCGTCAACCCAAACTTTCGAGAGCTGCACGTGAGCGGGCCCAGGGCGCTGGCGTCTGCCCACCGCAGTCTCACCTCCCTCTCCGTGCGCCGTGTCTCTCTTCTCGCAGGCGAGCTGCGCGCTCACGCCCACCTCCGCCCTCCACGCCCACCTCCGCCCTCCACGCCCACCTCCGCCCTCCACGCCCTGCGCCCTCCACAGCCAGCCGGCACCCCTTTCCTGTCTAGGTGAGCGAGCAGCCAGCCCTCCTGCGCCCCCTCCTCGTGCCGATCATCGAGGCGGTGCAGCGCACGCTGCGCGAGAGAGGACAACACCCCCTAGAGCCTTCCCGAGCCTTCCCAGAGCCTTCCCAACACAGTCGTGGAGAACGCAACGCCGCGCGGGAGAGGAACGCTCTCGACGCCCTCGCGGCTTCGCCACCAACGCCGCAGACTCGTCTCGGACCCTTCCTTCCTCTGCACCGCCCCCCCAGGCCAGCCGCTCTTCGACGCGCTCGCCAGGCCGGCGACGGTGCAGCAGATCCTCAAGGAGCCGTACTTCGACGCGGACATGGTGGCGGACGAGCTCGTCGACGTGTTAATCAACTATTAATCAACTATTAACTCACCCTTACTTAACAGGTGACG